TAAAGCGGGACCGAGTTCTGACCTCTCCGTGGTGAGGAGCAGCTGACAGCCGAGTGGCGAGCGCGCTGGTGTGTGGTGCGGACACCGTCGGCCTGGGGATCGAATCCCCATGAATTACTTAAGTTTTTCTTTTAAGAAAATTGACAATCCTGACACAACGTCGGTGTGAATCCGACTAGGTCTGCAGCAAGGTAAGGCGGTCGACTTCACCACCTACTCAGCACGTCCCGAAAAAAGTTCACCCCTAACAGGATTCGATCCCCGGGCCAACGGTTTCGGGACCCCACCCCAGCGCGCTCGCCACTCGGCTGTCGCCTGCTTCTGTGGACAAAGACGTCAGAACTCGGTCCCGCGCTTCACGGGTCTCGGTCTCCCGTATTGCACGCGTGCATGTCTATACAGCCCCCCCACCCCCACCCTAGTGGTGACATGTGGGAGTGGAAGCAGGAGAGGTTGAAGTATCTCCCTTGAGGTTTATCAGAGTAAAAACATCAGAACCATTTCGACAGTGTAATTCATTCTTCTAACATACAGAATACTTACTGCTATGCACAGAGTGACCCAATAAACACGAATAACTCACCATGTAGACATTTTGTCGAGCACTTGACAATTATTGATACATTAGCGGGAATTCTTGCAATTCCTTCTTGCACAGTCACAAACTACAAATGACGTGAGTTTTTCATCTTTATTGGGAGGATGTTACGCACAACACATTACATATATGGTGCATTAAAACTTTTCTTTGACACTGACAAAATTTTTGAATGATTGTTTTCATTGTACATTGACAAACCTAACTGCATATTTCGATCGTACATTTAATGAAATCAGTCAAAATCTATGGATTTCTCTGAGTCAACCTGCAGCAAAATGATCTGCTGTGATTGTTTCTGTAAATGAAACAATTGACAATTCATAAAGTTATTTTTTTATGTCCATACAATTTTTATAGCACCAAAATGTTTCTACCTTCCCTGGTTATCTTTCCATTGAAATTACAGATTTGTATTCACATATATGGTAACAATAATGACTTCACCACAGTAAAGTAGGTAAAATAAAGAATGCAAACCACTTAAAAATGAATAGCTCATGAAAATTGCAAGTTGAGGAGTTCTGGGTTCCTAAAGAAACGTATAGATTCGATTGGAATAAAATTTGTGCCTAAGCATACTATGATAAATATGTCACAGCCCATTCAAACTACGAGATCTAGGTATGGGCCCCATCAGTCCTTTTTAATGGGCAAAAATTACCCTAAGAACAGAGTCCCGATACACATACAGTACTGCATGCAAACTGTCAAATGCTTTAGGGTTTGCAATTCATATGTTTATACTGTACTTATATTTAATGCAAGGACCTCTCTAATAAACACTAAAAATTGCATCAATTAAAGCATTCTTTTTTAGTAAGTGGGTGTGCAACCTAAGGGAGTTAGCCCCAAAGTTAGTTGCACAATAGTATCAACCCTATCAGCACGACTTAAAAACTTGCCTTGCTTGCTTTCATTTTGGGAACACTCATACTCTACATGATGCAAGAAGTAAGTACCAATGAATAAATCAAGCTTTTTCAAGGTTAACAGATAGACCAGGTTAGCAAAATTGGGTTTGGGTCAGGGGATGGTATTAATCCACGTATATGACCACAAGTCAAATTTGTCTCTCACAATGGCATTAAAACATCACATTGCAAGTGGCTAAGTTTTATCTGATCATACATTACATGATATGGAACAATTTCTGTTTGATTGATTGATCAGATAGCTCCATACAAAAATGTATCCTTAGACCCACATTATTATAAACAAGTAATTAATGACAGAGGCCCTGAACTGTAATGTTTAATAAAAAATAATAATACAGTATGTATCACTAAATGCTCATCTGTACATATCTATGTATCGAAAATAAAACAAAATTAAAAAGAAATTAGATTGTAGTATCACTAGTCTATGTATCACAAGATTTGTATTGTATACGGTTATCAATAAAGTTACTTTAAGATTTTCATAGGTTTATATACATATATAAATGCTGAACTAAGTATACTTTCAACTAACCTATCTCCTAATAATGTGCAAAGATAACAAAATAAGTATGAAGCAACACTTCATTACTCCAAATTCATCTGTTACTACATATAAAGAACAGGTACTATATGTTTATGGTGCATCATTGCTACCACACACAGATGTGCTGTGTACGCCCAGTGCTTTGATAGGAGCTACTTAAGTATACCGGTAAATCAAAATCTCATTTTAAATATTAAAAAATATTATACATAGTTTTTGAATCAATTGATCAGTACTCCAAGCAATCTTGAAAAAAAAAAAAAAGTTGTGTTTTCAGTCAAACTTTGTTTTTTAAGTTCATATCAAAAGAGATCTTTTATGGAGCTTTTCCAGGATGGCACTGATATGCACTCTGTAGCAGTACCTTAAAGCTACTGTCAGAGAAATTTCACACTACTATAATATCCTAGAATACAACAATAACATGGACAAACTACAATTTTGAAGAAAATTGTTAAGTCACAAATGGCTATCTTTAAAAAAGATTCATTGGATGAAAATTCAAGCACAAATGCAGAATCAAAAATGTACTGAACAAGAGCAGATCTGTGTCTTTGCTCTTAAATACATCAATCAAATTGTGCTTCCACAAATACAAGTGAAATAAAATTTACATTTCATATGATTCTGAAAATAATCTGTTCTGATATTCAAGGCAACAAAGCTTCCTCTAAAATCACATAGCACAGGTCATACACAGCATAGAATGTGGCATCACACATTATTATCAAAGTTTCCTGGCCAATACAACAGACTAATGTGCAAAAGGGATAAAGGGCAATTTCGGACCCTAAATACAGTAAGATAATCAATCTCAAACTGAGATCAAGAAACTGAAAGAGTATAATATACCCAATTTCCATTTTAAGAGGGATTCTGCTTTCAAAGCCCTTGTTAATCACAAGCAGGTGAAGACAGTTTACCACACTTTTGTCTGAAATAAAATCTAACAAAGCAAGTTGTGTAATTTCTAAAAGATACTTTCTTAAAACATGCATTTCTTTTCTGAAATGATTTTTAGGAGTGAGATGTAAAACATTGCATCACACACATTGCACAAAAGGAAAATGAAGATTTTTTTTAAAGCTAATTCTATTTTCTCACAAGAGTAATAGGGTTCATATTAGTAACGTCTCTTCTTTAAATTACACAAGTTCTCACCTTCGGTTTTGTGTTTTGTTGTAAAAGAAATGGTATTAGTCATAACCATTGCTTCACCAACATTATTGTCAATTTAGTCTCCTGACCCCGACATAGCCCATCAGAAAAGTTTCACTGGAAATTTGTTTTCATTTTACAGCAAACAGTCATTTGATGGGATTGATTTAGTGAAACAATAGAGGTGCTCTGTCAGGTTCCTTTAGACCAAATTGACCACAACACAGGTCTGTTGGCATTTTACTCCGTGCTATTGGATGAATAAGAAACACATAAAATCACAATATATATAATATGTATAAATATGAAACAAGATAGTTAAAATAGGAAAAGAAACAATCCACTTATGCACAATATGTACAAAATTTTGTAGAAGCCAGGTCAGATAGATTTATGATCCTTGATTTTAAACATTATTATTACAACTTTATTCTAATGATCTACAGTTCTCTTCACACAGATCTTTTTTCCATGAAAGACTTATGACTTGATAACAATCACATGATTGTATAATAACAATTACACGTTTGTAGTACGAATTGCATAATATTTACATTACAGAGCTAACTTATCTATATAAGCACAGCCAGTACATCAACTGACATCATAACACAATAAAAACACGGTTAAATTTAGCCAGTATCACAGTCTTTGTGGCTGAGGTGACACTTAGGAAACCACAGAGTTTCCACGGAACTTCAAAAGTAACATGGAGTTGTGAAAATTATAATCACACAGTACACTTGTTCATTAAATAACCGACAGTCAAGGAGTTAATCACCCAACAACTCCTTTCTCTAGTTTGATTTGGATATTTTTCGGATCATAAGAGCCAGCAAGGTAGTACACATCCTGAAGATGAACCAGATGTGCAGTATGGTGATTCACTTTCTTCTCATATTCACTGAGTGGAAGCACTTCACAGCGGTGGGAAATTGTTTGAACATCATTGTCATCCGCATGATCAGATTGGAAAAGTCCTCCCTAAAAGAATTAGAAAACAATAAAATTTGTCTGGCATCCCAAAAGAAATAAAATGGTTGAACTATAACTTTAACTAATTATAACATACAGGATATTTCAGAGTTGGACAGCCTTCTGTCTCCTCAGGGTGGTAGAACCATTTGACTCGCACAACCATCATTCCATTATATGTCTCCCATAGTGATTCAATGCGTCCTATGTATGGACGATCAGGGCTATTAGTTGATAAAAATACAGCACAGTCGCCGACCTAGCAAAGAGAATGTCAATCAAAGGTCAGTTTAAACAAATGCACTGCTGCTACAATTTATTGCCAAAGAAACTAGAACTAACTTTTATTTCTTCTTTGTCTCGTTGGATGCATTTATAGAATTCTTTTTTTCTACCTTTCCCTCCCTGTCGTTTGTATCCTTTTCCTGACCAACCCCATAATTTGCGAGGGGGTAAAAAGGCAGCTATCTTGCTTCTTTCTACGGAATTTTGACGATCTTGCTTTTTCTGAAAATATTAAGAAAAAATTAAGAAATTAAAAAAATAAGTTTTTAGATATGGTAACTTTCAGAATATGACAAAAGAAAATAATAAGCAACATACTTTTGGTTTCCTCGAAAGGTTTGTATCAGGATGGATGGATTCATTTTCAATTTGATCAGTGTTGGTATCTGGTTCTGTTCCTGTCTCCCAGCCTTCTTTTAAATCCTTATCCTTATCTTCTACCTCTTCATCCCTTTCTTCATTTTCCTTTCCTTTCCAATCATCTTCCAATTCAGATATTTCCTCTTTAATTGATGGATGAGCAGGTATATCTTCTTTAAGTGATAGATGAGCAGGTATTTCCTCTTTAATTGATAGATGAAAAGACATTTCCTCTTTAATTGATGGATGAGCAGATATTTCCTCTTTAATTGATGGGTGAGGACTTATTGGCTCTTTGCTAATAATAGACTTTATAATAGCATCCGGAAATGGATTGTCTAAATCAGCTTTTAAAGGAGCATCAGAGCTGCTACCAGTTGACGAGTGGCGATGTCTATGTTTACGTCTGTGCTTGTGTTTGTGTTTCCTTTTTCTTGTATCAGCAGAAGATGCAGCCGCACTTGCTGTCATCAACCTTTTAAGTTTTTCTCTGCGCCGCTTTTTTAACCGCTTGCTTTCATTTTCAGAGATCTGAAAACATAGATAAAATTGCATAAGCACAATTTATAAAAAGGACACACAAAATATGTCCTACAAAAAATGATACCGGTAACGAGTTGTATGTAGAGTATACTATGAACATTATAAAAGAAGTACTGTACATATACATTTATTTTCAGTGTTCAAAAAACCAACAGAGAAATTAACCTGATTTAAGTTTAGAACACACCTTAGAAGAAAGTAAACAGAGAGATGAGGTCGAGAAAGCAGAAGGAGCTGTGGGTTCAGTGACATCTGTCTGATCTGGAATTAACTGCATGCATGAAAGATCATGCAGGAGGATCAGTATTACGTAGTTGATGAGAAAATTTACATGCAATTTACAAAGTTAATGGAGCATGGAAAGCTATGAGATGACTTTAACTGGCAGATTTCATTCTGTCAGTTATTCACTCTTTCTGGAAACCGTTCTTTAATTAATATATGTAATGTTAAATTAAGAAAGGAAACAGAAACAAGCTTAGAGTTAGGATGAGAAAAAAATCCACTACAGTACACTTTTAATGAAGATGATGGAAAATGGTCAAATAACAAGCATTCCAAATTACATGGTCAAAAGTGTTAGTTAAAAAGAAAAATAATTTCTTACCTCAGTTACTGTTAGTTCCTTCTTATCCTCCAATTTTGGGTTTTCTACAAATGAAGCATTAGATGATATGGCACTGTCTGCACTTACACGACGATCCTTGGAGTCAACACTCTTTTCAGAATTTCTCCGCCGTCTTTTAGTTAAAGAGAGTAGTGGGTTTGGATCAAATTCTGTCAACAAACCACAAAATATGATAAATCAAGATCCAAGCTGAAAATTATAGAATTCGTTTATTGAAAATATATCTGAGGTGCAGAAACCCACCAACAACAGGATAGTTTGATGGTAACAAACGGATGTCCTGGATTCTTATTTGTCCTGAATCTCCATCATCAAATTCTACGGTAACAAAGTCTCCATCTAGACTAGGATCTGGAGTTGTGGGAGGAACAACAACTCCAGGGTACAAACACTTTGTCTGCTGAGACCAGTATGCACACAAGCGGGTACCAATTGACAAACTTTCAACGTCTGGAGGCCGCACTTCAAGGATCTAGGATCATACAAAAAATAATAATTCATTATTACATCAGTAGAAAATTTGAAAAATATAT